GTTCAAAAAGACAGGCCTGGTTTGGGCATTTCTTAAAGGAGACAGGCTTTGTGAGCTCAGAGGAGACCTGCTTCCTGACTTATAGAGCTATTTGAACAAAAGGGTGTTGTGCTATCAGAAGATGTTACTATGTTGAAAAATATTTCTATCATAGGGATTAAGAAAAGGCTTTCAAAGTGATAGTTGTCTTATCCCATTTTGAGAACTAGTTTTCTTTATATAAATCTAAATTAAAGTTTTAAAAGTAACTCTTATAACATGAATATTAGGGGGTTTTGATGTTCCTTTTCTAATCATGTACAAGACCCCAATGCATATACCTGATATCTTATTATAAGCTTTTCATCTCAGACTTTAGTAGAAAGTGCTTAGTTCCCTGAAATAGTCATGGTGTATTTAAGAGCAAATGGGGCCTTGGAGAGCTCATGATAGTAAATCCTTGTTTGTCTTGAACTAATGAATCTCTAGTGCAAGATAAGAGAAGCTGGAACATCATGGCATTTCCTCTAATAATATAATGTTTAATGCAGCAGTCATTTACTCAAAAATAGCATACCCCGCATGTTTCAGCAAATTGGATCCCACTAGCAGAAAGCTCTGTGTGTGTCTTTGTGTGTATCTATATCTGTAAGAAAGGACAGGACAGAACCTAATACTGATCCAAACACTGACATATGGGTGCCATGTTGACTTTCAGACCCGTAAACGGAAAAGCCATTTCAACTCGGCAGCCTCCTCCCAAGGGAGCCCCTGAGAGACCACCTCCCCCCAAACTTTCTGCGACCAGAACATCAAGTAAAAAACTGCCTTTTAATCGGTCCTCTTCTGACATGGATCTTCAGAAAAAACAAAGTAACTTGGCATCTGGACTCTCAAAAGCCAAGAGTCAAGTCTTTAGAAATCAAGATCCGGTGCTACCCCCTCGCCCCAAACCGGGACACCCTCTCTACAGGAAATACATGGTAAATTTGGCTTTTGAAAATGTTTGTGGTCAAGAAGTTTTTCCTAAGTTACATATAAGATCCATTATTCCTTAGAAAAAGATGGTGAAACAAATGTGTAATTGTCCCTTGACCCTAAGAGTTCTGTAGACAAGTAGGCTGTAATAAAACCTAGGTCTTTATTTTTTTATTTTTATATTTTTTCTTCTTAATTTTATTTTGTTGATATACAATGAGGTTGATTATTGTGGCCCTTTACCGAAACCCCCCTCCCTCCTCCCTCTCCCCCCTCCCACCCAACAATGTCCTTTCTGCT